GCTTCATCTCAGCTGATCCGCTGAACGCTCCTCTGCTGTTCATTTAAAGGGGCAGCTGTGAGGTTAATTGTCCTAACAGTCTGTCTGTGTCCCAGCTTTTGGTTTTTAATCAGTGCTAATCAATAATGAGCAGGTATCTGTGTCTGTGCCCTCGCTGTTTGAGTTACATGTGCTCAGTCTTGTCTTGTGCACTTCGACAAATGTCATCACTGTTTCACATCAGCATAAAAACGAACACGTAATTTTGAAGAAAGCGCAGTTAAAGTCCTGTTCGTAGCATGAGGATACAGTGAAGCTAAGCAGAGAGCCTGAGGTCAGTCTGCACCGGGCTGATCGCACACAGCTGAGGTGTAAACGTGTCCCAGCGTGATGAAAGGTTTGCTTCGCTGTGAGCCAGCAGGAACACATTTCCAAACCAGCCGATGTTTCTGCGCTGCAGGGCTCTGGGCTGCCTCCTCTACCAGATGTGCTGCCTGACTCACGCCTTCCGGGGTCCAAACTTCCTGTCTGTGGTGATGAAGATCGTGGAGGGAGACACGCCAGCGCTGCCCGCCGCCTACTCTCCAGATCTGAACTCTGTCATGCGGAGGTGAGGAGGACGTCAGGCTAGCTGCTCGGTGAAGTCTCCCAGGCTGCTTTCACGTTAATATGCAAACACCAGGCTGTCCGCAGGTCTCTTTTGGTAAAAGAAGTTTTGATCCTCAGATCATCACCGAGACAGAGAGTGCACCCGTCTCCTCCTGTCCCAGCATTGTCCTCTGTCAGGTGCTATGAATTTACCCGAGTGTGTCACTGACTCTGAGCTCGCATTAACCAGCTGCTGTTTGTCTCTGTGTGAACCAGGATGCTGCAGAAACAACCAACATCCAGACCGACGGCGGCTGAGATCCTCAAGAGCACATTCATGGAAGAGAACATGCAGGTTGGATTCTTTATTTAAGCATTTCCTCAGCACCAGGTGAGCTGCAGGTATCTGAGCAGAGACGTGAGCCTCCCACCCACTGTGTCATTCTAACAACACCTGTCTCCACCCCCTCAGCCCCAGCTGGCAGATGGCCCCGCCCCTCCCTGAGCCTGGTTCTGCTGGAGGTTTCTTCCTGTTAAAAGGAAGTTTTTCCTTCCCACTGTCACCAAGTGCTTGTTCATAGGGGGTCATGTGATTGTTGGGTCTCTATCAACTTAAAGCACCGTGAGGTGACTGCTGTTGCGTTTTGGTGCTAAATAGATAAAATTTAATTAAACTAAAAAATAATAATAATTAGTGAAATTCTAAGAAGCATCAGTTATATCCAATAAAGCTGTACAAATAAAAGCTCTATATAAATCTTACTGAGCAGAAATCAAACAGAATAAACATTTACAAGTCAAACAGGAACATTTTTAAATGTGTTGGTAACCCAGTAGAGAAAACTACCTTTTGTTATTTTTTTCTTGTTTTCGTTTTGATTGTATAAATGTATTTTCATTATTTTATTTTGAAAAGAAACATTTATTTTGAAAAAAGGAAGTGTGATCCTCTAGCAAACTTTATTTTCTGTTGCTGGATCACAAGGGATAAATGCCTTTTTCATTGGTTGAAGGTGGTTTTAGCCCCGTCTTCCGAAACACCAGACCATCATTTCACATGAGCTAGATCTTTTCGCACGTGGAAATAGATGAGACAGGTCACGGATAGCTCGTGCGGAATTTTCTAACATTTTGGTGAGTTTAGCCCATGGGTTTGAAAAGTTAATGTGTTAGTCTGTTGCTAAAAGTTGTTTCTTCTGTTCATACCGATTCGCGAGTGGTAATTTGCTGTTTAAAAACGGTTGAAATGCTGTTGTGGTAGGATTTGTTTAGCATACTTGAAGGATGACTGGAAAAATGTATTATCTTGCTGGTTATACCTATTAATCATAATTTCATGGTTAAAAAGAGAACAAGAAATTCATTTGTTGTTTACATGGTTAAAATAATTTCATGTATAACGAGAGATATATTCAAAGCATGCATGTAATGTATTACTGTGGTAATGTGAAAGAAATGTGAAAAGAGATAAAGAACTAAAGCTATAGCTGTGATACAAGAGAAGAAACGGAGCTGGCTGTGTACAATAATGTTAATATTGTTGTGCAGGCTAGGTTTTTTTCCCTTGTCCGTGTGGAAGGAACTAAGATTTTGGATTCCAATGGATTCTCTCCGGATGGAGATGGCGAGCCTGAGCCCAGACTGAACTTTGCAGAGGAACTTACTCTTCTTCCTCGATGGAGACTTCCAAGTGGTAACACACAAACCACAAACGAAAGAGAACAAGAACTAGACTAAGAATTTTTGACTCGACAAATGACCAAAGACAAAAAGACAATTGAATATTGAGCTCAAACGACTATTTTTGGGGTTATTTTTGTTTTGCCGGCTTCTTCTTGTTATTGTTATGGTTATTATCACTACTACTGTCAATGTGGAATTTGTGTCTTGTTTATTTCATTTTTGTGCAAAATAATAACTGTTGCTGCTCAAATTCCTGTCTCCAGCCATTTCATTCTGCATTCGCCTCGCTTTCTATTGTAGCCCTGCCGAACCTAGCAACTGGTCCGTAGTTTGGCTGTCCTAAACTATTTAAAATGAGTCAGTGGTTACAGTAAGTCTTGGCGAGCCAGCCAGGAGGCTTTTTCTCATGTGATTACAAGTATATAACGCACCCCAAATGGACCGTCTTGTTGAACGTGAATCTGTTAAAGTCCCAAATTCGGTGATCATGAGCGAAATAGCTGGAGATGAGCAAATTGATGAGGTGACTGAATTCCTAAAACAGTATGGGTCAATCTCAAGAGTCTTAAAGGTAGATGATGGTAAATCTGAGTTTATCTCGAGTGTTGTTGTTGAGTACAATTCAGGTACTGCTGTTGATGCTCTTGAGCCGTTACCTTACAACCACATATCCGATAGCGGGGTTAAGTATAGAATACAGTCTCTTGCAAGCGTATACACGCGATGTGTGGGGAATGATACAACCAAGTCATATCTCACTGAGTTAAAAACCTAGCCAAAATGAGCGGCCGAGGGTTTGCAGATGTTCTGAAAGACATGATGTCACAGATAGCTGAATCAATCAAAGAGCCTGAACGTGATCAATCAGAGCAAATTGACTTACCTGAATCTCCCTTGGCTGAGTTTCAGCCTTCAGCTGTTGAACCCAGTGTTGATGGTGCACAGCAATCGAACCAGTCAAATCACACTGCAAGAAACCCAGCTCATAGTGTACCCACCATACCTGCACCTGATTTAAACCCTCCTGAGGTGCAGCGTGTAGTAGTTGAGCACATTGTGAGAAGAGATGATCATTCAGTGCAACATTTTTCACAAAAACTCAGAGCTTTTTCTGGCAAGGACCCCCGGCCAACCTATGAGCCAGATTATGATACTTGGCGTTCCAGTGCTGAACTAATCTTGAGTGACACTTCCATGTCGCAACTGCAACAATCGCGAAAGATTCTTGAGTCTCTCTTACCCCCGGCAGCTGACGTAGTTAAGCACTTGAACCCAGACAGCTCACCTGCAGACTACCTTCAAATGTTGGATTCTGCCTATGGGACAGTTCAAGATGGTGGAGAGCTTTATGCCAAATTTCTTGACACCTTCCAAAATCCAGGTGAGAAACCGTCGTCATACATACAACGCCTTCAGGTAGCTTTAACTCACACTGTAAAACGGGGTGGTGCTTTAAGCAATGATGTTGACAGACTCCTTGTCACGCAGTTCTGTCGTGGTTGCTGGGATGATTCCCTTTTAAACGCACTTCAACTAAAACAAAAACGGATAAACCCCCATCTTTTCCTGAGTTGCTTCTCTTATTACGCACAGAAGAAGACCAAAATGCTACCAAAACAATGCGAATGAAGCAACATTTGAACATCACGAAACAAAAAGTGACATACCACCTCCAAACAGTCAAAGGCTGCTTAGACGAAAATGAAGACACAACCACCTTAAGCTCAATTAAAGAACTCTCAAAGCAAGTTGCAGAGCTCCAGGCCCAACTGGTGCAGCTGACCGCGAAATCAAAAGCGCAGAATTCCAGATATGCCTCCCATACCAAGTCTAAAGAAAACCGAAAGCCAGACAAAGTGAGCAAGGAGCCCTCAGAACGAACAGTTAAAACTCAAAGTATCCCACCCAAACCGTGGTACTGTTTCCAATGTGGAGAAGATGGCCACATCAAGCCTAACTGCGAAAATGAACCAAACCCAGCCCTAGTTGCTGAAAAGCGCAAACTGTTTAAAGAGAAACAGAGGAAATGGGAGGTTGAGAACCCTCCAGCCACTAAGGAACAGTTAAACTGAAAACAGTCTCTATTGCGGGGCAAATGGAGACTGCAGCCAGGCGATCATGTCCCACTAAGTACATGCAACATGCTAACTGTAAGCAATCTGTCACTAAGCCACAGAAGTATAGTCTGCCAAAAGGGTTGGTTGGCTCTAAATGCACAGCAGTAGTTAGCATTTCTGGCGTTAATGTAAATTGTCTCCTGGACTCAGGGTCACAAGTGACCACAGTCGCTGAGTCGTTCTACAAACAGAACTTTCCAGATCAAAATCTTAACCCACTCTATGATCTTTTGGAAGTGGAGGGTGCTGCAGGTCAGCCCGTCCCTATTTGGGTTATATAGAGACATGCATTACTTTTCCAAAAGACTTCTTAGATGCAGAGATGGACATACCAACCTTAGCTCTTGTTGTTCCAGACACTCATCCAAACAGTCAGACCCCAGTGTTGGTGGGAACAAACACGCTTGATGTCCTTTATGAAAATTTTTGGACCTTAAGACTTCTGACTACTTACCTAGTCCTTGCGGGTTTAGAGCCCTGTTGAAAACTCTAGAACTAAGACATACACAGAACAAAGATGGGAGCATTGGGTTAGTTACCCTGTCAGGCAAGGCTACAGTTGTAGTTCCAGCAGGCCAAACAGTAGTTTTAGAGGGATCTGCTAACGTTCATTGTACTGCAGCAGACACGTGTGCCATAGTTGAACACCCCTCTCAGTCTTCCTTGCCTGGTGGCCTTTGTGTTAAAACTTGCTTGATAACACTTCCTTCCCGAGCTCCACACAAAGTGCCTGTTATGATTACAAATGAAACAGAACAAGATGTTACTATCCCATCTACTTGTGTCATTGCAGAGCTGGGAGCTTTCCATTGTATCATGTCCCAGCATAATGTCACCAGTGTTAATGAGTCAGCCACAAGTAAGACACCGCTGAATTTCAATTTTGGTGACTCTCTGATTCCACATGAATGGAAAGAGAGGATAACCAAGCAACTCAATGACATTCCGGAAGTATTCGCTTTTCATGATCTTGACTTTGGGTGTACGAACAAGGTGAAACATTCCATCAAGCTTAATGATCCGACTCCCTTCAAGCACCGTGCACGCCCTATACACCCTCAAGATCTTGAGGCTGTCCGGAAACACCTGCAGGAGCTGCTTGCTGCAGGTGTGATAAGAGAGTCTCAATCACCTTTCTCGTCTCCCATTGTTGTGGTGAGAAAGCGGAACAATGATGTGCGTCTATGTATAGACTTTCGCAAGCTGAACTTGCAAACAATAAAAGACTCTTACGCACTTCCAAATCTGGAAGAGACATTCTCTGCCCTTTCAGGATCCAGGTGGTTCACGGTCCTCGATCTGAAATCTGGGTATTACCAGATAGAAGTTGAGGAGGCAGACAAAGAAAAGACCGCGTTTGTGACACCGCTTGGGTTCTGGGAGTTTAACCGCATGCCGCAGGGCATAACCAACGCCCCAAGCACCTTCCAGCGGCTGATGGAGCGCTGTGTTGGTGATATGAACTTACATGAAGTGCTCGTCTTTTTAGATGATCTCATCATCTTCTCAGATAGTTTGGAAGAACACGAACGCCGACTTATGCGGGTACTCCATCGCCTTAAAGAGTATGGCCTGAAGTTATCGCTGGAAAAATGTAAATTTTTCCAAACCACAGTTCGGTATCTTGGGCATGTAATCTCTGAAAGCGGAGTTGAGACGGATCCCGAAAAGATTCAGGCCCTAAAGACCTGGCCACGGCCCAAGAATCTCAAAGAACTAAGATCTTTCCTGGGGTTCTCGGGGTACTACAGACGTTTTGTAAAAGGGTACTCGTCCATAGTACGCCCACTCAATGACCTCACTCGTGGTTACCCACCACTACGCAAGAAATCAAAGTCCAAAGAACCCAACCAGACCTACTTTGATCCCAAACTGCCATTTGAGGACCGATGGACCGCAGAGTGTCAAAAAGCTTTTGACTCCATCATTGAAAAGCTAACGTCAGCCCCCGTCTTAGGCTTTGCAGACTCGAAGCTGCCTTATGTGCTCCATACCGATGCCAGTACTACTGGCTTAGGTGCAGCACTCTACCAGGAGCAGGAGGGTCAGCTCAGAGCCATAGCTTTTGCCAGTCGTGGGTTATCAAGAAGTGAAGCACGATATCCAGCCCACAAGTTGGAATTTTTAGCACTCAAATGGGCAGTGACTGAAAAGTTTCACGATTATTTGTATGGTGGTCAGTTCACTGTGGTTACAGATAGTAACCCACTCACATACATATTGACCTCTGCTAAGTTAGATGCCACTGGCTATAGGTGGCTTGCCGCTTTATCTAACTACAACTTTAAGTTACAGTATAGAGCGGGCAAGCACAACCTAGACGCAGATGGGTTGTCTAGACGTCCTCATGGAGAACTCGTAAATGATGTCCAGTCCAGGAAAGAGCAGGAGCGTGTAAGCCAATTTGTAGAGCGTCACCTAGCTGACACTGACACCACTGACACCATAAAGCTTGTAGATAGTGATGTTGTCCAAGCAATCTGTCAAAATCACCTTGTAAAAGTCAGTGATGATTGTCAGGATAGTGGTGTTACACTTGTAGAATCGCTTACCCTCTCAGCTGACGCGATTCCAGACATCTATGTTTCAGAAGAACATCATGGCTTACCAACCATCCCTGCCTTGTCCCAATCAGAAATTAAGGATAAGCAGAGAGCAGACTCGACAATCAGCCAAGTTATCAAACAAATCGAACATGGTCAGACACCTCCACCGACTGTTAGAAAAGAACTCCCAGATCTCCCTCTTTTGCTTAGGGAACTCAATCGGTTGGAAATGCACAATGAGGTGTTATACAGAAAAAGACAAGATGGAGACCAGGTGACCCACCAGCTTGTTCTTCCTGAGGAGCTCAGAGCTTCAGTGCTCCAAAGTTTGCATGATGACATGGGCCACTTAGGTATCGACAGAACCCTTGATCTGGTCAGAACCCGATTCTATTGGCCACGCATGGCGACACAGGTTGAGCAGAAAGTGAAAACATGTGATCGTTGTATACGGAGAAAGAGTCCCCCTGAAAAAGCAGCTAGACTGGTCAACATAACAACAACCAGACCTTTAGAACTCGTCTGTATGGATTTTCTCAGTCTAGAACCAGACAGTAGCAACACACGGGATATCCTTGTGATAACCG